GCTGCTGGGGTTAAACCATGACACTCATGTACAGTACCTCTTTGTATGAAGACATAATCCTTTCAATAGCATCTGCTCCAGAGATCAGCAAGTTTCGCGATGTAGTAAAAGCTTCTGTTCTTTCACTAACCATTGCCTGCTTCTGGCCATCTTCCAGTTCTAAAAGTAAAAAAAAAAAAGCAAAATCTGTTAAAATATTCTGATTCTACAAAGGAAATTATGATTAGAATCTGAGCAATTATGGAGCAGCTTTTAAGTTAAGAAAAAGTTAACTCTGTGAAGAGAACCTTTCAAAAAGAACTGGTGAAAGTAGCTAGCATAGCTTGCTAACAAAGAGTAAGTGGGAGCATATGGAATTCATCTTCTTATACAAAACATCCTAGTCTTTTATACTCTTTGTCTACCTAGATAATTTTCCTTTTAATACATCATTAGGCAACATAAATTTTTCAAAATAGGAAAAAAGTGAAGCCTAAGAAATTACCTGAAATGATTTTTAATACAATTCAAAACATTTTTTCGTAATTAATTTTCAGCCTTACTTATTTACTGACTTCATAGAATCATAGAATCAACTGGGTTGGAAGAGACCTCAAAGATCATCAAGTCCAACCCTACCATGGTTACTAGACCACGGCACTAAGTGCCACATCCAATCTCATCTTGAAAACCTCCAGGGATGGTGAATCCACCACCTACCCAGGCAGCCCATTCCAATGCCTGATAACTCTCTCCATAAAAAAATCTCTTCCTAAAAGGGCTTCTATAAAAGGAAACACCCTTTGGAAATGGAAATTTAACAACATTATTATATTGCTGTAAGAAAACAAAAAGCACTTTTGTTATCAAAGCCATGGTTTAAGTAGGATACCTCTCCCTCACAGTTTTGGATCTCTCAAAGTTGGATCAAAAAAAACTCTGCTCACAGTAAAGTTTCACCCTTCATCTGACCTCAGTACAAAGTCGTGACACTTTATGACACTGAATCCTATTTGCAAGAATATTCTTGCTCCAAAGAAAGGAGTTGTCTAATAAGAATAAGAATATAGCAGCAGCATTAGGCAAGGAGAAAACAGCAGCAGAAATTATAGAAGAGATGTGAGAAATAAGTATATTTAACATATCTATATATACTCTTGCTACAATGGGATCTATAGATTCAACTTGCAAGCTTTACTTCTTGAAGGAAGCAAGATAGGGGATGGTCTCTCCTGCCATGGCTGCAGGGAGATTATGGTTATAAACTGAGACAGGAGAGATTCAGATTAGATGTTAGGAAAAATGTTTTCCCTGTTAGGTTGCTCAGGCACTGGAACAGATTGCCCAGGGAGGTGGTGGAGTCACCATCCCTGCAAGTGTTTAAAAGGTGCCTGGATCTGACACAGGAGGATGTGGTTTAGGGTTTGGGGGTTCCAGCACAGTGGCAGGTTAATGGTTGGACTCAGTGATCTTGGAGGTCTCCTCCAACATTGATGATTCTATGACTCTAAGATTCAAAAAGAAGTGGCTGACTATTCTAAGACCACACGTTGTTTCAGTGTTAATACATTGCAACTACAAAACAGAAGACAACAATGTGTAGTAAACCACTCAAAGATTTTTCACAAGATTTAGAATGAAAGGTCTTAAGGGCCTTCAGCATCACACAACTTTGTATGTATTTCTACATAGTGCTTAAATCTTTAGCAGAATGGGGTCTGAATATTTTTTTCTTAAGTGTTTACATTACTTTTAAAGTTTCTCTTTAAAGCTAAGCTGCTGCTAGGCATCAGGCTAGGCAGGGTAACAGGTGGATCCACTGTGGCAACTCCTGTATTAGCAACTTTTATTAGCATCCTGGTTTCCACAGTGCTGATGATGAAGAAAATCTAGGAGGAATTCCCTGCAGGTGTAATGCAACTGTAAATTTCATGGGCTAAGCCAAGCAATGCAAGAGTACAGCAAACAGGTTTCTTTACCTCTCACCTCCCTGAGGAGGTGACCAGATTCTAGAAATCTAGTGTCTGCAAATCTACATGCAGTACCATAGCCAGGTGTATCTTTCTGTCTTTATTAGTTAAATCTAAAGGTTATTTTGTTTTCATTTCCACATCCCTAAAGGTATTCCTACACAATGACATCTGAATCAATGCAATACACTATGGATAATTTATGAGAAACCATTTTAGATTGCTACATCATAATTTTTCATATATATATATATATCTCCACACAAACACAAAGCATCTGTATGTTACTCTTTCTGTTCTTAACAGCACTTCTTTTTTGTTTCAGTTCTACAACATCACTACCCTGGCAACTGACTGTATGCAAACTAGGTAACCAAGACACAATGAGAGGCATGCTTTAAACAAAAAAAAGACAGAAAAACTCTTGCAAAGGGAGAGATTTCAAACTTCTTGCTCAAGTTATTTCCACTCCGAGACAAACTTAGGGGATAGGGAAAATTCAGTGAATTCACTAGTGAAAACTGATTTGAAATTTGTGTCTTACTTCTGAGACAATCAATTTTTGGTGATTTTGTGGGGATTCTAGCTCATGCACCCCATGCTATGTAGAACCACCACAATTAAACCACCTAGGAATCAGGTATGGTTTAACTACACTGATGCAGCATTCTTCCCTCATGGAAATGCAGGATTTTCTGACAGCTGCTTCCAGCACCCAGGCCAGCTCATCTAGCAAGAGTTCTGACATCTCTACAAACCACTGCATCAGACAAGCCAGGGGTATTTGAAAAATTAAAATTATATAGAATTTATGAGCATTTCACAGTCCCAAAACACAAGCTCTTTTATTACATAACCCACAGATATTACTTTCCTTGAACTTTTTGTCCAGAACATTTTTCCTATGGCTGCCCTCCTGTGTCTGGGGACGTGTCATGTTGTAACAGAGCCGACAGACTGTCTCTGTTTCACACAGACACTAACATTTCCATTTTCATCTTCATTTATGTAATTGATAGTCATACTTGTTTTACAAACAAAGATAAGTGTTTCACTGTGTCTAGAGAAATCAAAGTCTTGCTTCCAAAAATAGCTACTCTCCACAAACTGATGAGAAACATGACATTTGGAATGCCAGTGGCTTAATACAAAAGGAATGAAAAATGTTATCAAACATGAATCTTGGCTCTGCCAGCTAATTTATTCCCTGAAATATGTAACAAAACTTTAAAATTTCAGTCAGAAATACCAGTCAGAGAAGATTTTTTTCTTTTTATTAAAGATTTTTTGATTTTTTACTCCTCCCCTCAAAGTGTACAAAATCTATTGCTTTACAGCTATAGTCTCAGGTCTGATCATGGTACCAGTTTTGTGCATATCCCTGACCCTGTTGATTCCTCCTAAAGTAATATATCCACTATCTCTGCCTTCAGATTTGAACAAACTTGTACCTCATCTGCTGAGGTACAAAGCACTGTTTTCCCAAGCAGGTCAATGGTAATTTCAGGTGTGTTTGATTCTATGAATACAAGTAATACCTTGAACTGGTCTTGACAGTGTTGATTTGTCAGTATAATGTTTGAGATCCACCATTATGATATGCCTTAGGACTCCATAATAATCCCCACGTTTTAACAGTTAAGGTTAATGGTGGCAAATATTCTTCTGCTTTACAACATGAGCCACTACTGTGTCTTTCATTTCTCCCACACTTGGAAAGTATTTATCAAAAGAACAGTCATAAGTAACAGGAATGTTATTTAGTTTAGCATGAATACAAGACCTTTTTTATTCATGGTCTAATACCAAGGAGATATTTACAACATGTGGTTAAAAGCTCTTTTTCTTGACTGTACTGATTCCCTTCTTAGCAGAAAGACTCTTACCACTTTTTCTGTTCTGCTGATAACCTTCATTGTGAGGTGAAAGGCCTTTGTACAACCTCTTCTGTTTGGAACAAGACATCCTGATATTTTTGAAGCTGTTCCAGGATGTCAGCCAGGGTCCTGATATAGTGCCCTCCTGAGCCATGTGACAGGCAGCAGCTCAGCCAGCCAGACATGCACCAACCCAATTGCAAGTGAGCTGAACCATGTGGGCACTGCACAAAGCAGTTCTACAGGTCAAACTACGCTTGTCCAGTTGCACAGTCCTGATATAACTCCCAAGAAAGAAATACAGCTACTGCACAGGAAAGAATTCACTCACTCCTGACTAAATGTACACAACTCAGGGTACATGTTCCTCTGCAGACATTGTAGGATCTGTCTTAAGGAATCCTAAGGAATTCATACAATATTCTGTGGTTCCAACTGTGCATAAAGATGGCTGTCGTAGCAAAATTCCCCACTTATCTTTCACTACTCCTACCTACCTTTCTTTCTGCTCTTTCTGTTTTTTCCTTTTCTTTTTAATAGCATATGCAGTAACAACACTACTTGAGTCTCACTTCCAGGAAAGTTGTGGAAGGATGTCAAAAATTATACCATCCTAGCCTGGAATCTGAATTTCACCTTCTCTTCTCCCAGGGAGTCAGGGAAAACCAGTGGTTCCTAACAGGTCAACAATAAGAGAAAAATTACCTGCAATTACCTATAATTGCACTATGGTTTATGGCAGGAGGAGATAAGCACTCTAGGAAAGTTCACAGCATCATTTTGTAAATGGCATTCAGGGGAAGTACAGCCTTTTTGAGGATGTAACTTTAAAGAAACATTTAGAAATAAATTTAAAAATGGTATTACCGCCATCTGCAAATCCCGTTGCAGTGATGATGGGCACAGCAACCATAATCATACCACAGCTACTCCAGACATACTTCATCAGGAACTGCTCTATCATGATGTACCATAAGCGTTTGGACAAAATGAGATTCATTTGATCTACCAAAGCCTTGTAGCTTTTCTGCAGTTGTTTCAGTTCTACCTACAGTTAAAAAGAAATAAAACATTTTTACAATGCAATGAAGATGCACATGTCATACAAGATATGTTCACACAGCTACATTAAATACACAGGTAGCCAGAGCTGTGACTTCAGAGTCACACCTGTTATGTGCTACTCTATTTTCACTTTGCTGCAGTCTCACAGCCAAAGTGGACAGCTTTATAGAACTCAGTGGACCTGGTTCTTATTTATACCATCACTCCTCCATAGAACATTGGCACGTTCTCAGCTCTTTTAGGATCTCTGATATATACAAGAGCAACACAGAAGGCATTCACAACAGCTGATTCTTACAACCAAAATAAGACTGATTCCATGCCCTTTTAACAAAGCTGCAGCTGTAGAGTTTCACAGCAACTGAAACTCGTATCGGAAAGCATTTGGGGATCAATTATTCCCAGCGACTTAAAGTTGAAATGCAATGCTGCTTGTTTTTGCAAGCAGTCTGGGGGAAGAGAGAAGTATCCCAAGAGGTTTAACAAGTCAGTTGCAAGTCAATGTGATGTGTATTCGGTTCAAGCCCATATATGTGGGAATTAAAATGTTTACTCTAGTTGCACTTTAAACATTACAGGCAACTTTTGAGAGCAACTGTGTCTACAAAAATAAACCATTTACATTATATAATCATTGCTTGGACTGAGAGAGTAACACTTCAGCCTGGTTTTCATCTTTCATTTTCACCTTACATGAAATTTTTCTTCCAGTTGTGTTTGACAGGTTTTACAGCCCAAATTCAGTTCTAATAAAAATATAAATACTTCCTTAACAATGTGGCTTTAAAACAAGCTACTAGTTTATGTAACTGTGATTGCAGAAGTACTGTACTTAAGCTATTTTAAGACTCTGATGACTACATCTTCGCTTAGCTATGTAAAAGAGTGTCAAAGGTTGTAGTGTGCTCTGAGCTAGCACAGAGTTTTTCCCTAGACTTTCTGGGTGTCCTCTGGTTGCTGTTTCTGCAGCATTAAGTCTGGTAGTTCATAAACATGGGTGGGGAACAAAAAAAGCCTAAAAAAGTTAATCGTAATGGGCTGGGTGGGGGAAAAACAATAACGGAGATTAGCTTTCTAGAAAAGCATAAGATCCAGCTGTAGGACTGGAACGCTGTCAGAGCTCAAGGGAACTGTGATCTGCTCACCCCAGACAACGCCTGTGAGACGGCGCTTTCCTAAGAAATGGGAAGTGCTAGGCTGTAAACAGGTTTAAATGTCAGAGGGACACAAAGTTCTCAGGGAGGGCAGCAGAGGAAACAGGGTCTGCTCTGGCACTGCGGGAGCGACCCCAACACCCTCCGATTTCTCCCCCCCTTACCTTGTGCCCCCGGTAAAAGGCGATCTCTTCCACGTTGGCGATGATGCGCGAATGTATGAAGCGCAGATAGCCCTTCCTGTGAGCCTCCTCAGCCACAAGCTTGCCAAACTTGGGCGAGCAGGCTTTGAGCACGCGGGCCGTAGCGTAGACGACCAGACCAGCCAAGACCGTGGGCCCAATGGGGTTAGCCCCCCGGGACCGCGCCGTGCGGATGAGGGTGTAGGAGGTGAGCACAACGTCCAGGATGGGCTTGGTGAGGTTGGAGTAGAGATGTGCCACAGACTGCGAAAACATCATGATGTCCTCAGTGAGGGACTGGTCGGGGTTGGCCAGCCGCCCATCCATGCTGATCACTTTGTAGTAAGTCTGGTTGGCAAAGTAGGTCTCATAGGCGTGATCCACCAGGCGCGTGCGGAAGGCGAGGGCCAGCTTGCACTCCAGGTACCGAATGGTGCTGTTCACGAACGTGGCCGGGATCGCAATCATCAGCCACTTGATCAGTTTGAAGACAAAGCTCCTGGGCTTTTTTTCCACAATGCTTTTCACAATTTTCCCATCCAGGGCGGCCACATAGATGGAGAGGAAAGTCCTGGACACCAAAGCGAAGGAGTGGAGGCAGAGCAAGCCCAGCTCGGCGCTCACCAGCTTCGGGAAGAACAGCTTGCGGAGTT